AAGGACAAAACGAAAAAAGAAATACAAGTCTAATCTTTATTCAACAAAATAAAATGGTTCAACATAAGAAGAAATCTCAGATATACATTCCCTAGGAACAAGCACATAGAATTACTTCAAAAGCAATGAGGTGGTATTGTTAGGAAATTTGCACGAAATTCCCAAACCTGTGAGAATCAACAATAGAGAAAACACATGCCAAAGAAAAATAATCACACGCGCAAGATAATATTTACGTAGTTCGACAATTTGCTTACGTTCACGAAACTGCAAGGGTTTCACTATTCTCAAGAACGATTACAGAGAGGGCGGCGGCCGTATAGAAAAAATCAACACTAAGCCCCCAAGCCTTCGCTCCATGGACTAAGCCTCAGAAAATTTTCCATTAAAAACCACGCAACATTTTTTGGGTCGGGTCATCATCCAGATCAACATAAAAAACTAGACTCCACAAAAAAAGCCCAACAAATCTCTCACTTGGAGACTATTTCACCAACATCAATTACAATCCTCCCAAGAATAGTCCCTCATCCCTGCAACTTATCTTCATGTCCTCAAGCTAGAAGGCCAACTGAAGCTGCACACAGCTTTAGCTTCTCAATAGTGACACCCTTAGTCAACATGTTTGCCGGGTTCTTAGTTCCACAGATCCTCTCAAGTATCAACTGACCATTATCAAGAAAAGACCGTATGAAATGATACCTGATCTGAATGTGCTTCGTTCTGGAATGAAATGCCGAATTCTTGGCAAGAAATATAGCACTCTGACTATCACTGTAAAAAGTACCCTTCTGTTTTTTTTTACCCAGTTCCGCCAAGAAACTCTGTAATAAATTCATCTCCTTTGAAGCCTCTGACACTACAACATACTCGGCCTCTATAATAGAAAAGGATACTGTTTTCTACAAGTTAGAACCCCAAGACAAGGCAGTACCACCCAAGGTGTAAACAAAACTGGTGGTGCTCTTCCTACTATCAGTGTCTCCAGCCGAGTCGGCATCAATAAAACCCTGTAACTCCAAACTATCTCTGGTGTAACACAAGCATGCTTCTAAGGAACCTTTCAGGTACCTCAGAATCCACTTCATAGCCTCCCAATGTTGTCTTCTTGGGCTGCTCATGTATCTACTCACAACTCCCACTGTATGGGCAATGTCCGGTCTTGTGCAAACCATAGCATACATAAGTGAACCAATAACTGAAGCGTAAGGAACCTTACTCATGTGCTCATCTTCCTCCTCTGTCTTAGGTGACTGATCTTTGCTAAGTCTGAAGTGACTACCCAGCAGTGTGCCAACTGGTTTGGCTTGATCCATGTTGAATCTACGGAGTACCTTTTTCACATACTCGGCTTGCGACAATTTAAACGTGCCCTTGACTCTGTCTCTGATGATTCTCATACCAAGGATTTGTTTTGCAGCTCCCAAATCTTTCATTGCAAACTATTTTGACAACTGTTTCTTCAGATTGTTAATTTCCTCAATGCTAGACCCTGCAATAAGCATATCATCCACATATAATAGTAAAATGATGTAAGAATTGCCAAAGAACTTAACATAACAACAATGATCAGCTTCACATCTCTTAAACCCAGTTCTATGCATAAAACTGTCAAATTTCTTATACCACTGTCTTGGAGCTTGTTTTAGGCCATATAAGCTCTTTCTCAGTTTGTAGACTAGATTCTCTTGTCTTTGAACAATGAACCCTTCTGTCTGAATCATGTAAATGTCTTCCTCCAAGTCACCATGAAGGAATGCCATCTTCATATCTAACTGCTCAAGATGTAGGTTTTCTATAGTCACCATTCCCAATACCCGTCTAATTGTCATCATCTTCACAATTGGAGAAAATATTTCTGAGAAGTCAATGCCCTTCTTCTGCTGAAACCCTTTGACAACTAATCTGGCTTTATACCTCTTGCTACCATCATGCTCATTCTTAATTCTGTATACCCATTTGTTGTGCAAAGCCTTTTTCCCTACTGGCAATTCAGTCAGTTCCCATGTCTGATTCCCCAACAAGGACTCCATCACATCATTCATGGCTAACTCCCACTTGCTTGAATTTTCATCGTGCAAGGTTTCATCATAACACTGTGGCTCACCACCATCAGTCAACAAGAGGTAATTTAAAGCGGGTGAATAACGCTATGGAGGTCTAATGATCCTGGAAGATCTACGGACATCAGCTACAGGTGTACTCTATTCTACCTGTGATTCTACATTCTCCTTATCTTCTTTACCCCTTTTCAAGATAGTACTTTCAGTCAATTCATCTAAGTTGACAAACTCAGATTTCTTTTGATCTATCCCTGTGACATCTGACACTACAGTTGATTTGTCCTTGTACATAACCTGTTCATTAAATATCACATTTCTACTTATGATGATTTTCCTGTTCTGTTCATTCCAAAAACGATAGCCAAATTTCTCATCACCATAACCAATGAAAAAACATATTCTAGACTTTGCATCAAGTTTAGTACGAGCATCAGAATCAATATGAACATATGAAACACAACCAAAAACTTTTAAATGGGAAAACTTTACTTCTTTACCACTCCATACCTCTTCAGGAAGTCTGAACTCCATAGGCACTGAAGGTCCTCGATTTATCAGGTAAGCTGCAGTACTAACAGCATCAGCCCAAAAAGTCTTTGGTAGTCCAGCATACAACCTCATACTCCTAGCACGCTCATTGAGAGTTCTATTCGTGCGCTCAACCACACCATTTTGTTGTGGTGTCCCAGGAATGGTTTTCTCCATCCTAATTCTATGTGCAGAACAATACTCATTGAACCCTCCATCTATGTACTCTGCTCCATTGTCTGACCTCAAACATTTTACTTTCAAACTTATTTTTGTCTCAACCATAACCTTCCACTTCTTAAAAGTATAAAATACATCAGATTTATTTTTTAGAAAATAAACTCATACCTTTCTACTTGAGTCATCAATGAAAGTGATGTAATACCTTGAACCCCCAACGAATGCAACCGGAGAAGGCCCCCACAAATCCGTGTGTACTAACTCAAATTTTTCAGCCTTTGGTGTTCTACCAGTTTTCAAGATGCTCACCTTTTTTCTGCTTTCCTAAGATGCAGCTTTCACACATGTCAAAATCAGCAGACTTTAATTCTAGTAGTTTCCCCTTTGACAGCTGCATCTTCATCCATTTCTCACTCATATGACCAAGTATGCGGTGCCATAAGCTTGTATCAGTACTTGTTTCAGCGACTGCAATTGTGTTTCTTGAACTTGAGGTCATATATAGAGTACCAGTCTTCTTTCCACTAGCCAATACTCTGGCTCCCTTTGTGATCTTCCAAGTACCACCAACAAACAGTATAGCATGCCATTCATCATCAAGTTGCCCAATAGAAATCAGATTCCTCCTCAGGTTATGAATATGTCGAACCTTCTCCAGTAACCAAACAGACCCATTGGACAATGATATTCGGATGTTTCCCATACCCATAACATCCAAGGATGTACTATCAGCCAAATACACCTTACCAAAATCACCTGCAACATAGTTCTGCATGATTTCTTGGTGTGGAGTAGTATGAAACGAAGCTCCTGAGTCCAAAACCCAATCGTCAAATGGACTGTCTATTGCAAGAAGTAATGCATCATGTACCTCTTTCGTTACAGTATTAGCAGAATCATCTTCATTCTTCTTCTTAAGACTTTTGCATTGCCTCTTAAAGTGACCCATTTTTTCACAATTCTAGCATTTTGCTTGTTGGTCTGATCTACATTTACTTCTATTCCGATTAGAATTTTTGGATTTTGATTTGGCCCGATTTGAATTTATGTCATTACCTCTGCCTCTTGTCTCATGGTTTAGTGCAGAACCAGATCCTGAGGTTTCAACTGCATCTTTTCTGCGAGTCTCCTCGGCCAGAATTAAATCTCGTATGTCATTGTACTTCAGTTTTTCCTTTCCTGTAGAATTGCTTGCTACCATCCTCATTGCCTCCCAACTGTTTGGTAGAGAAGCTAAAATGATCAATGTACGAATCTCATCATCAAAATCAATTTCTACAGACGACAATTGATTTGTGATAGTGTTAAACTCGTTCAAATGCTGTGCTACTGATGCGTTCTCTGCCATCTTCAAATTGAACAATTTCTTCATCAGATGCACCTTGTTGTTTGCATACGACTTTTCATAAATATCAGACAAAACCTTCATCAAATCTGTTGTGGTCTTCTCCTTTACAACATTGTGCGCAACAGGCCTAGACAGAGTTAACTTGATAACTCCCAGTACTTGTTTGTCAAGAAGATTCCAATCTTCATCCTTCATAGTCGCAGGTTTTTCCCCTAGAAGTGGCAGATGCAACTTCTTCCCATAAAGATAATCCTCGATTTGCATCCTCCAGAATCCAAAGTCTGTGTCATCGAACTTTTCTATTCCAGATGCCTTTCCTGCTTCCTCTGCCATTGCTCCCACTCAACCCTAAACCAGGCTCTGATACCAATTGTTAGAAAATTTGCACGAAATTTCAAAACTTGTGAGAATCAACAATAGAGAAAATACACGCCAAAGAAAAATAATCACACGCACAAGACAATATTTACGTGGTTCGATAATTTGCTTATCTTCACAAAGTTGCAGGGGTTTCACTATTCTCAAGAACGATAACAGAGAGGGCGGCGGCTGTACAGAAAAAATCAACACTACACCCCCAAGCCTTCGCTCCATGGACTAAGCCTCAAAAAAATTTTCATTAAAAATCATGCAACATTTTTTGGGTCGGGTCATCATCCGGACCAACAGTATTAGCAGGCACCAATAGGATGAGTGTTTGCACCAAGAGGGTGGTCATCGTCATTCAGGTTTCCAAGAGGATAGGGGAGGTGTGCTTGCAAACCTCCAAGTGTTAGCCATGTATTCTTTTAAATACCTCTCACCCTTTACTACATCAGTTGTAGCAATGGATTCAATCTCGGCCATATCTTCGGGTGTTAGTTTTACAGACAAAGCTTTGACTANGTGCTTGCAAACCTCCAAGTGTTAGCCATGTATTCTTTTAAATACCTCTCACCCTTTACTACATCAGCTGTAGCAATGGATTCAATCTCGGCCATAGCTTCGGGTGTTAGTTTTACAGACAAAGCTTTGACTATCTGGTTGAAGTGTTCAATCTTGGTGGTACCAGGTATGGGGGACACGTCCTCCCCTTGGTGATGGACCCAAGCCAATGCTAGCTACGATGTGGTGCATCGCTTCCTTGTTGCTATTACATTTACCAGCTCGTACAACATTTTGTTATGCTCTACATTCTCAAGATGGAACCTTGGCACAGTCTACAAAAGGTCAAAAGACATTCCAATGACATCACTACAAAGCAATATAGATTCATGCCCATAGATNTGATGGACCCAAGCCAATGCTAGCTACGATGTGGTGCATCGCTTCCTTGTTGCTATTGCATTTACCAGCTCGTACAACATTTTGTTATGCTCAACATTCTCAAGATGGAACCTTGGCACAGTCTACAAAAGGTCGAAAGACATTCCAATGACATCACTACAAAGCAATATAGATTCATGCCCATAGATGTTATTCCTAGTATCCATGCTCAAGCAAATTTCAGTACCACAACACATGGTTCCTCATCCAATGCATAATACACTTGGTTCCTCATTGTGATCCTACTAAAAAGATTTTGATACCAACATGATTATACACATGCATGATTCACAATACATCAGGTTACCCAATGTAGGAGGAGAGTATCGGTGTTTCTTTATATAGAAATCCATCAAATATGATTCTAATATCAGCAACCTATCTTCTCAATTGATATGCATCACAAGGAATTAGAGAGCAATATCATCCTTCTNAGAGTATCGGTGTTTCTTTATATAGAAATCCATCAAATATGATTCTAATATCAGCAAGCTATCTTCTCAATTGATATGCATCACAAGGAATTAGAGAGCAATATCATCCTTCTCCTCTAGAAGGGGCCTCATTAAAATGTAAACAAAAAAAGAAACGACCACTAAGTACACGAATGTCCCACCACAGTGGGGGTCCAAGGAAGGTTAAATCGATGTACGTAGTTGCACCCCTACTTGTGCATAAACTATTTGCATGACTCACTCCCTAGATGCCTAGTTGCCATGGAGCAACCTTACCACTGCACCAAGGCCCACCCAATAAGCTCAGTAAAATGTGACGCGACACAAAAAAACAAAAAAACAAAAAAAATACTTAACTACATTCTTCATTTTTAAAAATAAATTTATTACAATCGATATTTTTTTGACGTGGAAACAAGTAATTCGAGACCTGTTTTTAATCAATTATTCGTAATACCAACCACGACCTTGGGGAGAAACCCATATAAGGTTNAAAAAAAAAAAAAAAAAAAAAATACTTAACTACATTCTTCATTTTTTAAAAATAAATTTATTACAATAGATATTTTGTTGACGTGGAAACAAGTAATTCGAGACCTGTTTTTAATCAATTATTCTTAATACCAACCACGACCTTGGGGAGAAACCCATATGAGGTCAATTATACAAATTTAACAAGGAAAAAAAACTCAAATATGGGGATTCGTATTTGTGACTGCATTACACTCAGTACTGATCCTCTAGAGCACTCTATTACACATAAATTGCTATCCGACATATTCAAAAACACACCATTTCATCGAAAGTTTGCTAGCAATTGTCAACGAAAGAAAAAGAAGTCCAAATTAAGCTTCACTAAGTTGTTACATAGTTGCTCACTCTGAGTAATAGTCTCATTATTGGTTTTTTCCTTTATGAAAAGATTAATTTTTTACGATAAAAATCATATAGATCCTTAATTTTTTATCAAATGAAATGTGATACCCTAACATTTTAAAAATAACACAGAAGACCCTCAACATTTGTTAGCTATAACCAACGGACTCCCTCTGGATATTCAGACGTTAGTAGGACAGATGATCAGCTAGAAAATCATTTTTGTCCAAGAATGCCCAGAGGAAAAATATTAACCCCATAATAATGTTGAACATATAATTTAATCTCTCAAAAGCTACATACCTTTCTGAAGTCATTTTCTGACAATTTCTCAACTATCTGGGGACCTGAAGTGAAGAAGCCCTTTCCTAAAGGACAAAATGGAGCAATCCCATTGGCAAGTTCTCTGAAAATTTATAAGAGTAATGAACTAATAAATTAGGATCGCTCATCACTTCCCAAGCAAGAGAGTTAGCATTTAGCACAGGCAAATGCCTCACCTACAAGTGGGAATGACTTTTTCCTCTACATCTCGTGTCCATAAGGACCATTCAAGTTGTATAGCTGTTATTGGATGAACAACATGCGCCCTTTTGATTGTATCAGGTGAGGCCTCAGATAGACCAATGTATTTTATTTTCCCCTCTTCAATCAATTTCTTGAGTGCTCCCATCTTGTAAAAGCATGTCACAAAAGCGATCAAGGAAAATGTGACATGAGCTTTTTCAAATTGGTTTTTTCTAGGGTAGCATGGGGTGGAGGGGGGGAATAGGAAGTGACGGATGATAATGGAGATGTTCATCAATTTATGGTGCATAACAATAAAGAGTTTAACACAATATACATTATATAACTCTACTTGCTATTAGTTTTACCAAAAAAAACCCATTTGCGATAAGTATGCCACTAACAGAAAATGGTTGTCTGGTTATAGCTCAGGAGTATGGTAATTTTTCTCATTACCAAATGATCCCCACTAAATGATTAATAAGAGCTCCAGCAAAATTGATGCTAGTCACAGAAAATAAATAAAAAAACCAGGCGATGCTCCATGCACCGCTAGCCCGGGGTAAAAATAAATAAATAAACCATGATAAAAAAATTGAAGAATGGATCATTGATGATGTTGGGTTCCAAAGCTCAATAAATCATATGATCACTTAAAGAAAGATTAACACATTAACAAGGAAGGGATATCAAATCGCACTGAAAAGTTTCTGCCGTGAAAAATAGTAATACAAGGTGAATGCGTGAGGGCAACATCACAAAAGACATGTTTCAAAGAGACAAAAGAGCCACAAAACTTATAACACGTCATCTTTCATGGCAGTGAAGGAAATTTAACCTTTTTATCTTGGGTCAAATTGCATGTCTTGGAGGTGGTATATTCCCCACCGATTATTGACTAATCATGAGTTTTACCAATGGACCCAAATTTATCCTTTCCATCCACAACCAACGTTTTGGCCATTTTTGAATATCTAACCAAATTATCGAAATCAAGACTGACTGATTAGCTTTTTTTTTTTAGAAAGACTGACTGATTAGCTTGATGTGGGGAAAATATGAAACAATATTAATTTCATCAATGAATGTGATGTGAGGTAGATTTGGCAAATTACATTTTTTTTCACTACTCAATTGTTGGCATGTAAGTCATTTCTACTAGTCACTTATTCATATCCATACACTTTGTGCACATGAGGTTCCAACCATGATTACGACAATTCAATAGACCTTTAACGACCCACGATTTGGGTGCATCGATTCCAAATAAAGTGAGTACGCGATCTAAATCACCAAAATGGATGACCCAAATTGTAATACTAACACTAAATCGTTTCATTTTAGAATATGTAGAACAAATATAAAATACATATTAATTGACTATATGTATATAGATTTATAATTATATATTATTTTAGATAATAGAAAATCAAGTACAATTATAAGATAAATGGTAACTAACTTAGTATTTATGAATGTTCTGTAATATATAATGTTGTATCATAGTGATAACGATTTGCATAAGAATTTTAAAACGAATTGCAACCTAAAATACCATACCAACTAAACCTACTCTCATCGTACCGCGTACCTAAGAAAGTGTCGTACTATATCCTCGTACCCGTACTACGTACCAAAATGACCTACGATCCAGGTAACATTGGTTCCAACCTTTGATTTGCTGCACTAGATCTCCAAGAACATTTTAACCAAAAGTACCAACAATAGCAGCTATAAAAGAGCCGTTTACAATTGCAAAATGACCAAGACCAGAAAAGAAGAGTACCAAAAAAATCAATGTATAATGAAATGCATATAAAATGGAAATGAATGGAGATAAAGAACAGGATATGGTCTTTATTTCAAGAATATGCGTGTAATGAAGAGATCCATCGACTTAGATGACCAAAATTTAGTAATACTTGTTCCCAAATTTGGCTTGTCAAATGATGATGAAAATAAAGAGTAATCATCCTTATACCTAGTCGTAAACTATCAGAAATGTCTACAACACTAAAATAAATTAATTGTAGGGAAAAATACAACAAGATCCATAATCACTATTAACATGATAATACATTATGAAGATCACAAATAGGTAAAATAGACCAACCGTGAGTTCAATTGGTATGCAAGTATTGATGCGATGAACCTAGTAGAGATAGATATAGTCAACACAAAGCCGCTTCAGGCTAGCCTCACAAGCCTCTCGCACATAGGCCGGATTGCCACAGATATCTTTCTTTCCACCTTCTAGTATCCTAAAACTTCAGTTCCACAAACAACAATGAATCTATGGGAATGAGGGGGCTGAACGATACATGAGAATAGATTCGAATGCTATCAGTACCAAAATTCTCTCAATTCAAGTTACCCAACATGAAAGAAATGGGACCATATTATCCATATGTGTCCCACCCATTAATAGTAAGTATGAAGAAAGATTAGAATTTAAAATCCGTTCATTTGCCATAGAATTTGTTAGTTCACCATCATTAGAGTTAATTACATTGGAGGTCCCAAATTATAGGGTATGTCTCATTTTGATCCCTAATATTTTAATTGCATATTATAGTATCTGAAATTTTAAATATGTTTCTATGTGGAGACCACACAGACAGCGTTGAAATTTCTATCAATTTTTTATTATAATTTTGCCACCCATTACCTAAATATAGGAAAAAATAATAATTTGGATGATCCTTGACCAAATTTTTATCAAAATTTTGGTCATAGTTTGATCATGTCCTCTTCAAATTTTAGTCAAGAGCCACTGATATTATACATTTTTTTATCAAAAGTTACCCAAATTTTCGTCAAGTGCTATGCAAATTAATTATTGCCATATTTAGGTATTGCGTATGTTCAAAAATTTGAATACTATCTTCTTGAGAAATCACATAAAAATATATTCAATACTTCAGGACCTAAATTAAAATATTGAAGACTAAAATAAGACAATCTCTATACTTTAGAAATCTCCTCTGCAATTAACCCCATCATTATTGATGATGTACAAATTGGTATTGCGCAAGATCAACAGTCGAGTATATGTAAGGGTGCAATTAATAAGCAGTAAACAGGCAATCAATAGCGAAAACCGTAAATATGGAATCAACACAAAGATATATAGTGGTTTAGTCCAGATGACCTACTCCACTCTAGGGAACGGCAGCAGTGGTCGAATGTGTTTTATTGATGAACAAAAGTCACCGGAAGAGTATGCTCTGGGGTATTACAATGCCTTAGGAGAGAGATACTAGGTGTAAAGAGGTGTGTAGAGGTTTTAAGGTGATGCCTTCTATTTGGAGAAGACTTACATTATATAAGTTTGGTGAGGTGGTCACTATGTTTTAGTAAGTACAGTTATGGTATAATTAAAATTTTGTAATGCGTATCCCGATATTTTCTCACACGTGCTCCAATCCTTATTGGGTGATTTAGGCTCCTCTTGGTTTATTGGGCCTAGCCCAGTTGATTTTGGGCTCATCAATTATTTACTGTGCAAATCACATTTTATCACTTGAAAACATCTTCCAATTCTTAATGTTCATCATGAAAACTCAATACGTATACACTACACCCTCAATAAAACAAAAAGTAACAATATGATTTGTTTTAATAAAGTTGAGTACAAAATTTGGGAATTGTGCGCCCCTAAACTTGGATTCGTTCACAATAGTAACTATGCTTTCGATTGAAGCGAGTAGGGATCGAAGAGTACCTTGCCGATAAGGAGTTCGTTAGTGTGTGGACCATAGATGTCGGAGGTGTTGAGGAAGGTGACGCCAGTGGATGAGTTTGATCATGTCTTCTTCTCGCTTGAAAGGAGCATAGCTAAAAGACATGCCCTTGCAGCCTAGTCCTCTTTGATACTTCAAAACCTTGTGAACCTAGTTTGACTCTAGGTACTGTGATCGTCATTTTCCTTTCTGGGTGGGTTCAAGCCTCACTCTCTTGGGTGACAACATTTGGACTGATGAAAGCGGCACTTATAGGAACCAAACTTTTAAATTTGTGTTGATTTATTTCACTTGAGTAATGCTAGACTAGTCAAAATTTGGGATCAAATTTAGAGTCTAAATGATATGACAGTTAATTATTTAAAATTTTTATTGGGGCCCAAATGATATCACATCAATCAAAGAAGCCCAAGTTAATTGCTATATCATTTGGACTCCAAATTTGATCCCAAAATTTGGTTTCTTTAGCATTACTGATTTCACTTACTTTTGTTTAACTTCTGACTTCCCTTCAACGTTTCCCCTTTTCTTTGAGGTTTTGAAATTTTTTTTTTTGTTAATATATGAAAAATAATATTATTAAAATTTAAAAATTAATATAATTTATTAGCATAATAATATGTCTAGTAATAGAATTTTAATGAAGAAGTTCAACGATTGTAGTTACAAGAATACTATTAAATCATGTCATTATTATATTATTATTTCATTAAATTAGACTAATTATTAAGTTTTAATTGCATTACTCTTATATAAAAAAAATTGAAAAATCAATCTAAGGTTGGTCGGGGATGACAATTTTGTCAAACGTGTTCGAACATGATCCATATTTTAGTAATATTTTTTTTTTATCAAATCATCTATCATTATAGTTCCTATTTGATTTGACAATAGATAATTCACTCAAAAAAAATATAAAAATATATTATAAAAAATCTCACTCCAGCTGGTAAGATAAGTGCATGCATCAGAAATTATATGATAGGTAATAATGTTGAGAGTCTTACACATCATATGCTTTTATATCGAAAAATAATTTATAACAATAAAAACTTACGACATATTTGTTTGTTGTTTTTGTCTCTTGTTTTTAATTTTTGTCAAAATTGAAAACAAAAACGTGTTTGATAATTATTTTTATTTTTTTGTTTCATCTTAATTGTCTTGAAAACAAGTCAAAAAAATAGGAGCAAAAAAATTGTGTTTCAAGAAACACTTGAAACACGCGCAAAGCTCAGTTGAAAGATTTTAATAAGATCTTGGATTCAACCCTCGTTACCAACAAAATGTGCTATTTTTTGTAAAAGAATAAAATATTACTTTGAGACCTCTCTCTCTCTATGAACGAAGACAAACTGATGCAGCTTCTTGTGGGTCTAGAAGACAAATCCAAGCTCTATTCCATCTTCTTGCTTGCTTGAAC